CGGAATTGAATGCCCTGCTCGTTCAGCTTAAGTCAAAACAACGACAGAAAACATGCCAGCAGCACTGTCGTTTCTTTCCGGGTCTGCTCAATGTCCAGACATGCTTTATAACGGCGGCTGGAGGATTGGCTCCTACTAGGTGTCGTGAGGTGGTGTATGTGTATTGAAATGTTCAGGTCATGTGGCAACAGCCTTTCAAATTTAATTCTTACTTGTTTGGTTCGCGAGCATCTTAAACATTTGTGATCATAAACGCAGCTTGGAATGCTGAGGACTGTCAGTATAAGCGATGCTTGGTCTCTTACGTTTAACCATTACTTCCTAAGACCAACAAGATTGATAATTCGGTATGAATGCCAAAAAATCAGAGACTGAAGGTTTTCGTTGCATATACCAAATTCATATGAATAAAAGAGTTCGTATTGATAATATTTGTATAGGTAGTGGCCACAAGGGCGTAGAATTCGATTGTCCATCTTTTCGACTGCTTTTGCTCCCTAGCGTGGCCATGCTGCGTGCTCCTTTGCGTGGCCATGCTGCGCGCATTTAAGGCCATCTGACGTACATCATGCGGTGTTAGCAGGATACATGACAAACAGATATAGGACGATGACATTTAATGATGCAAGTTGAGCTGCGCTTACCTGTCTATAGCTCAGACCCTTGTGTCATGACCGTTTAGGCTATCTGCTTCTGATTGAAAGGTCAGTGGTTTGACTAGCCTGCCGTCATCGAGCTCCGGAATGGCCAGGATAAGCGGACATTGATGTGTATCGTGACTTCTGGATCCATTCACAAACGCTTATGACATACCTTTCTTACCCACGATCGTTTTCTTTCTTTTCGTTTGATTCGAGTGAGAGATGCAGCGACGCGAGTGCCGACTGGGGCTTTTGCCTGGAAGCAGCAGTTAACTCCATCTGGAGATCACAAGCAGAACGCCCAGTCCCATCGATGGTACTGACCAACGGAAGCCCTCATCAGCACAAGGAGTTACGCCTGTGGAGGTGAACGGACATACGGATTTGATACTTCGCTCTACTGAAGCCTGCTACCTAATTAAAGTTTAGTGCAGCGGCTACCCGCCGCGGTTCGACACCATTCTTCCCCCCCCCCCCCTCGAAATAAATGAGGCCAATCTTCGCTAGCGTTGGCGACTTATAATCTCTTCTGTCAGCTTCCGATCGAGTGGATGCAATTGAGAGAGTAACGGGCATAGCAAGTACAGCAGCATCTCCGGTACAATGTTATGCTCCAGCGTTGTGCGTTGCATTTGCATGCATGCATGAATTAAAGTTTGCATGACATTTGAAGTTTGAGGTAAAAACGATGTGAATTATGACAAAGGATATGTTGGCTTTTCGTTTGTCGTTTTCGATTCTTATAATGTGCATGTAAGGTGTACCAGTATGCATTACACGCGGCATGGTGTCCATGAAACCAACCAGCAATGTTCGCGATAATGTTTCGTTGTAGTGACTTGGCTGGCGGCAAGGAATAGCCAGCGCCTGGCAACTTGCGTCTTCAGACACGATAACTAAGTACCGAGCTCGACATATCCGGAGGAACAGTCCTACCGTGAAATGTGGTTCGTTATATAGGAGCATGATCAGTTTGGATCGCGACAGGAAACCTATTCGAATCGATTCGATCCGAAGATGAAGCATAGAACCTTCTTGTGTTTAACTATACCCCTCGTGCTTATCAACAGTACCTTTAACGGCGAAGATAGGACTTAAACTTCGAGCGTGAGCTGTGGTGCGAAGCTTGAAGGGATAGAAGATTAAATTAATATCCCTCATGCTCCTCATTCCAGACTCAAGATGACATGGCTTGCAAGGTTGTTTGAACCAAATTTAGCTTCTCTCCGAAAAGAATACGTTGCGCACTAGACGCGACCGCCAACCTTGTGAATGTCAGCAGAATCATAAGATTAACAACATAAATACAAACGGGCGCATCATCTGACGTTCCAGACCAATCCATTGCGATTTCGACTGAGCATGCAAGAGGTTGACTCTGACTCTGACTCACAAAAACACATCGCGCTTTTGAACCTCCTCCGGTTTCAACTAGGGCTGAACAGCTCAAGTCCGAAATGAATTTTGATATTGTCGAATCCGTTGACAGCACTTTTATTGCAACTTGTCCTATTGGCTGCACCAATCTTGCATAAAACAAAGGTTTTGATCGTAAGCTATTAAACGTTACTTACTTTGACACTTAAGTAATCACAGCTCCTAGTCAGTGCAGGTGGCTCTATTTCGAATCCAAATCGCGTACGTTTTTAAAGGAATCGATTTCATCTTGATTGAACGGCTCAGAGTCCACTCTTACTCCACATAAAACAAATGCGAGTCTGCCAATTACACCGACGCAAGTTTATTAAGTATAGGCTATACGCAAGGCTCAGGGCCAATTGTGTGTGTGTGGGGGGGGAGGCATAATTTTTGTTCTCCCGAGGTGCACATTTGATCATGAGGCAATGGTGGCTTGATTGAAATTTGATTGAATATTTGAAGCCTAACTGTATCATTTGTATTGCCTATTACTGATGCTAGTTATCCGCTATCGAAATGCATCCACAGATCGAAAGTGCGGAGCAACAAGGCTGTGGCCTTAATCATGTCAGATTGCAACACTGTTGTTTACTCGTAAATTCTAAAGCGATAGCCTTGTCGTGACTCAATTTTGGGAGCAGCATCGCATGCATCACGAAATTACTGGTCCGTGTCATTGGATATCGTTCGCCCGAGCATACGTCATGTCATGGGTCATCGCTTAGCCATTTGCAGCTTGTCGTGAATTGATGCCACCAATATCCAGCATAATCGATCCTAAAATGAATGACTACAAGCTGCAATAACATGAAGCTTGTAGCGTCCCCATAGCAGAAGTAAACCACATCACACGCCCAAACTGGTAATTGCCCACCGACCGACCAGGCAGTTACCACCGACCACCAAAGCTACCACCGGCCAGAAAGGTCGGTGGAAGCTAATAAGCCGGACGCCGTGCCGCGTGTTTTCGATTCACTTCGTTTGCATCCTAGTGTGTCGAAGTTGGCAGAGATTTTGTCACCGGATAATGAAAAGACAAGACGGGCATGCACTTGCCACTTTTTGTTTTTAATGAGTTTACATTCCTGAAACTTTCATTTTTTTATGCTACAGTATTGACATGTGCCGGGGCTGGTCGAAAGAAGAGCAATAGCTGTCAGCCTGTCACGAGATAAGGGGTAAGCCGTGAAACTGTGGGCTGAAAACCCTGGTGAACGTCCATAACGCCGGCGACATCTACATGATTGACGGCGACGGTAACGCCGTCTGACGGACTGGCTGCTGGTAGGTGGGGACTTGGTGGGGCAGCTGACGGCGGCACTCAAACGCAACGGCGGCTCTCGGCTCGACGTGTTCTACCAAAGCATGCATGGAAAAGAACAGAGGGGCCCTGAATAGACAGTGACTCAGTCCACAATGTCATAGGAACTGATATGCGTATGCTCACGAAATGAAGGCGCGGCACAAATTCGAAATCAAGCGGAGGCAAATGCGCAAGACCTTTGTTTCTATGTTAAAAACAGGTGACGTCATGTTCAGCGAACTCAAAATGCGCAATGGGCGCGCACTATCCCCGGAAAGCTTTTTACAGGCAAGACGAGGTGAAAGTGCACGTAAAGAGCTGAGCTGTGTAAATGCGAAGATGCCGTAATTGTAATAGATTCGTGAGGCTTAATGTCAATTACAGACGTGTGTAGCATCTAATGAAAAGAGAAACTAGTCTATGAGAAAGGACAGCAATCCCACCAAATTTGCATTTCGTCGGTCTTAGCTTGCGGGTTTTGAAAAAGTAAGAGACAAATAACAGCAAAGGGACGCTAGGGTCTCATCTCTCGGGGTTTCAGGATGGCATGGCTCAAATCCCAAGAGCGCTGAATCTGAGTCTCGTTCTGAGTCCCACATTTTCGCACCCTACGGATTCGAGTCCGGTCCTGAGCTTTGTCCGTGCCAGGGAGCCAAAAGACCTCGGGCCCCAGTTCGCGTTCTGGTGCCTGGACGTCGGGTCCAGGTCCGGGTTCATCAGTTTTACGGGGTTCGAACGCAATAATGAAACAGTAGCAACAACAAACCGATGCAACCCTTTGGCGTGACATGTCATGTCGCAGACCACATGAGTTGATGCGCTGTAGTGCCTGTCTGATAGCGTTTACCAGGAGCTGTTCAGTTCCGTTTTATACGTTGTGATAGTGTAAGGTGTCAGAGAACACCCATGTGCTGCTAGCGAATGTTTGGCTAGTTTGGCGAGCGCCGCTTCGAGGTGCTCGCATTCCCTTCCTCCTGCCCCAGGCGCCCCGTGCAAGGGAGGCGACCGCGGGGGCCAGGCGAGGGTAGTAACAAAGGGGAAGACTCGGAGAGCCGCCGGCGCGGGGGCGGACGCGCCGGCGGGACGGACTGTGTGGAGTGCCTGTGACGCGTGTCAAATACAAAAGTGACTTTGGACGTACTGAGTGTACCAATGAGCCGGAAGCAAGACGCCAGAAGAGTAGAACTTACGATAGCACTTTAGGCAGCAGGGTGGGTCTAATTGATTTCACTTGCCAAAGGCCGCATTCACCATTATGTAGTCAAGCTTATCTAATACAGCTTGACAAGAGATCTCAAATGACACTTTTCGTGACCCTAGTTTGTTTATTTTGGCTTCAAAAGATATCGGGGGCTTTGCCTCACCCTGAGTCTGAGTCTGCGGCCGAGTTCACTGTTGTTCAGTGGATGTATACGCTGAGACGCATTCCTCTCGGGAATGAGATGATTCCGAGTTTGAGTTAAACGTCGTGAGTCAGGAATCAATTCTTAACCCAACTAGACTTAAGCCTATGCCTGGTCTCCAGGACGGAAATAGTGAAGTCACTATAGAGATCAAATGAATTCGAACAGAACGTAAAACAGGATCGACTGATCTTCTGCCGCACTCTGTTCTCTTCTCATGGTACATCAGTGCGTATAATGGCTTAATGCATGCAGCTTGTATGACTTTCAAACAAAATCGTTAAGCCTATCGCTCTATATCACCGTCTATGACATGCAGGTGCGTTGGCATCAATGCCAGGTACAGGCGAGTCTCTATGTTGCGACATCGCAGGCTCGACACGTGTCCCCGGCCTGCTCGTGAGTTGGAGTGGGTCCTCCGTGGGTTCCAGCGCACACACCTCGACTGTCAAAGCCCTCGGCAGGTCCATCGGACTGTTTGAAGTGTTCTGTGATCTGATCCAGGGACTTCCCCTTCGTCTCGTAGACGAAAAAGATGGGGTAGAGTGCACCGACGGCCGTGATGGCCGAGAAGAGCCAGAACGTGCCGGCCTCGGTCAGCCCGCTCTTCAAACTGTTGAAGCAGAGCGTGATCAGCGTGGTGATGAGCGAGGTGATGGTGGTGCCGACGCTGGCGCCCATGCCACGCATCTCCGGCGCGAACATCTCACCTGCGGCAGACAGGAGGGCGGGCGTCACTGGCGCCTCACCAGCGGGGTGGGCGGCGAAAGTCACCGCCCAGTGTTCACCAATCAGACGAAACATTATCAATATCTGCGGCGAGATGATGAACCAGCGCTGATGCACGCAGAGGAAAGCTTTCGACTTTCGCTGTCTGCCAATGACTTACGCTGATTTACCAATGAGCGCCAGAGACGGACACTTGATCGGCCAGGTAGTTGTCCAAATGTCCACTTAGCCGCTGAAATGGGCCCGCTGAGTGCACTCTAATGAATAACGCGAGCGCGAAGCTCGGGCCTGGCAATCGATGAGAGCTGTGTCCGCTCTCGCAGTGGTTCATCACGTGCCCCTGAACAAATACGTTTCACCCTTACCCTGGCGTAACTGAGCGCAGGCGGGCTGTCAGTAAGCACGCTACACCACGCCCTGCGTGTCGTCATCGCGTAGCCGCCATCACGCGTCCAGCAGCGCTCACCGATCACGATCCAGGGCACGAGTCCCAGCCCGATGGCGAAGGCAGGGTTGAAGATCAGCAGGCAGGCGAGCGGAAGCCAGCCGACGCCGCTCAGATCGTGGCCGGCGCGGAGGAGGTAGAAGTAGAGGCCGAGCGTGGCCGTGCAGGCGGCTGACACGCACGACGAGGCGACCAGCAGTGGCCGTCGGCCGGCCCGGTCAGCCAGCCAGGCGGCCAGCAGCGTGGCCGGCAGCCAGGTGGCCGACGCCAGGATACTGGCCGTGTGCGGCTCCATCGACGAGCCGGCCGCCTCCAGGATGTCCACCGTGAAGAAGGTGAGCGCGTCGGTGCCGGACGCCGGCTGCAGGACGAAGAGGCCGGTCACAACCAGCATGGGCGCCAGGTAGGGCCGGCGCAGCGCGTCGCGCGGCCGCACGTGCCGCCGCAGCACGTCCCGCGCGTACCGCGTCACCTCCGCCAGCTCGCGCGGCACGTCGTAGCGGGGCCCGCGCAGACGGCGCAGCGCGGCGGCGGCGGCCTGCTCTTTCCGCCGCATCACTAGGTAGAGCGGCGACTCGGGCAGCAGTGTGATGCACGGCAGCCAGGCGGCGGACACGGTGGCGGACATCAGCGCCAGCCAGTTCCACGCCACGTACTTGCCGACGATGAACTCGAACAGCGTGCCGCAGCAGAAGCCGATCTGCGTAAACATGCCCAGCAGGCCGCGCACGCGCGGTTCCGACACCTCGCCGATATAGTTGGGCAGCGCGAGGAAGGAGCCGCCGCAGCCGAGCCCCTGCACCAGCCGGCCGGCCATGATGGGCGCCGCGGAGCCGGCATAGCTGACGGCCAGCCAGCCGGCCGTGAAGAGCACCGCTACCAGCATGAAGGTGGCCTTGCGGCCGATGCGGTCCAGCGCCAGCGCAGCCAGCGGGCCGCCGACCATGGCGCCCAGCGGCTGCAGGGCGCTGATGAGCGACTCCTGCCGGCTGCTGAGTGCCATCTGGTGGCGCAGCTCCGGCAGCGCCGGGCTCGTGAAGCCGCTCGACATGCCGCACAGCATCTGGCTGACCGATGCTGCGGCGAGACGGGGCGAGCCGGGTCACGGCGGCACACAGGCGCGGCACACGGCAGCCGCTCACGAGACGGAGCGGGCTGGGTCACGGCGGCACACAGGCGCGGCACACGGCAGCTGCTCACGAGCCGGAGCGAGCCGGGTTACGGCGGCACACAGATGTACCCCAGTACAGCCGGTCACGAGCCGGAGCGAGCCGGGTCACGACTGTGATGTGCCTCAATACAGCCGGTCACGAGCCGGAGCGAGCCGGGTCACGGCTGTGATGTGCCTCAACACAGCCGGTCACGAGCCGGAGCGAGCCGGGTCACGACTGTGATGTGCCTCAACACAGCCGGTCGCGAGCCGGGTCACGACTGTGATGTGCCTCAATACAGCCGGTCACGAGCCGGAGCGAGCCGGGTCACGGCTGTGATGTGCCTCAACACAGCCGGTCACGAGCCGGAGCGAGCCGGGTCACGACTGTGATGTGCCTCAACACAGCCGGTCGCGAGCCGGGTCACGACTGTGATGTGCCTCAATATCAATATCAATATCAATATCAATCAATACAGCCGGTCACGAGCCGGGTCACGGCTGTGATGTGCCTCAACACAGCCGGTCACGAGCCGGAACGAGCCGGGTCACGACTGTGATGTGCCTCAATACAGCCGGTCACGAGCCGGAGCGAGCCGGGTCACGGCTGTGATGTGCCTCAATACAGCCGGTCTCGAGCCGGAGCGAGCGGGGTCACGACTGTGATATGCCTCAACACAGCCGGTCACAATGAGGCGTAGCCAGGGGTGTCACTTTCTAAAATGGCCTGGTGGCTGAGTCCCTAAAGTCGACCTAACCTGCCCTCAGATCCCGATTTATCCCGGGATCTTGGTCACTTGATGTCATAATAAAAGTGTTGACTGTTTGGTCCCTTCCAAAATTGTTTTGATGCTAGGGTCCAATTTTAAGCTGAAATGAAGATGCTTTTGTAAAACATTTAGAATGGGGTGTAATTCAAAAGGCAAAACAAATCTTGAAAAATCAATCAGCTGTGATAACCAAAAAAGGCGTCTTTTTTATATATCGATGGTGGTCTGATGCGAAAAGTACAACTTTGTGCAGAATGATAAAAATACAGCTTCTGCGTCACGTGACGTACATACGAGAGGCTGTAATAAAGTCGTGCACATTTTAAGTATGCTCCTACATACAAAACAAAACTGAACTACATGACCTTCGCAACGGACACGTAGGTCACAAGAAGTGCATAGAAGATAAACAATGCTTGTGTCTGTACTGTCAACGCGGTGACCATTTGAAAGAGTAGTTCGACTAAGGCTTTAACACGTGCTGGAAGTTATATAGCCAAAAAGGCTTTCAACCCGTGAGGTTTCGTTGTTACGGGTTAGGAGTTTCCAAGCTGAAAATGACAAACCTGCAGTATATTAGGAGGTTGTCGTTGAGCAACATTATCAACAAAGTATTAAAGGGTTCGTTCCATTGACAAAACACGTTTGGAAGTGCTTCCACAGCTCTTACACTTTCACGGTTCACAACACAGCTCTGTGGTCTTTTCCGGATTTTTTCGGACATATCTGTTAACACCGCCTCGATGTTTTTCTCTGTGAAGCACACCGCACAAAATGTGGCGGTTCCATTCCTCGTAACCATTTTCCTGTGGTGCATCCAGGTGGAAGATGCGGCACTGAACATTGCTTTAAACCGTCCCACCCGGAAATGTACATACCCATCTTTTTAGAAATGTAGGCTTTGGTTTTTCAAACATCAGCGTCAGTGTGACAGGTCAGTAAACATGTCAGTCCTTATGTCCTATATAGTCCTTATATAATCCTATATCACAAATGCGGAGAGAGTTCGGTGAGCCTTTTGATGTGCAACCGTGTGAACGTGGTGGTTCTCAAATATCTCCCTTTCCCGCGCGAACGGAAACCCGGAACACTGAGTGAGGTTCCCCGATTTTGCCGTAAAATCTCGGTTGAGGGTGATAGCAGCATCAGCTTCACAAAGAAGAGCTAGAAGGATGAAAGCAACGGACTGTCTCCATGTGAAACTACCAGTAATATAGGCTGACCCAGCTAAAAGTTAATTCGCGTTTTACTGGACAGTGACAAGGGCATTTCTAGTACAATCTAGACTGAAAAAAACAATGACAGTCATCACTGATCACCCGTTAATCAAATCGTGACTCCACAGAAACTGTTTTGAGGATGAAAACGAAGAACCTGTCAGTATCATCTCAAAACGCTGTATTACTCTTACGTCCCTCTGGAGGGTCGCTGGGGCGGCTTCGCGGGATTGCTCGGGACAAGGAGTGGTTTGAGCAGGTCGACGTGACACCGCGCATGGCACGAGCTTCTCTGGACTGGTTGCAGCATTTCCCCGGAGTGCACACCAGCTTCAGACCGGTGTGCTGTGGGTGGCTCCGCACTCGCCAGACCTGTCGCCACGGGAGCCCATGCTGTGGGATGGCCTAAAGGACCCCCTCCACGTGTTCATACTGTGGGATGGCCCAAAGAGCCACCTCCACATGGTCATGCTCTGGGATGGCCTAAAGGACCCCCTCCACGTGTTTATACTGTGGGATGGCCAAAAGAGCCACCTCCACGTGCTCATGCTCTGGGATGGCCTAAAGAACCCCCCCCCCCCCCCACGTGTTCATGCTGTGGGATGGCCTAAAGAACCCCCTCCAGGTGTTCATACTATGGGATGGCCTTAAGACCCACCTCGACGCGTTCATGCTGTGGGATGGCCTAAAGAGCCACCTCCACGTGTGACAAGCCAGCGAACCTTTAAGAGCTCTAGGCCACATGCAGACGAGCTGGAAGGCATCGCCTTCGACGAGATCGACAGGACAACCAAGCACCTGCTGCAGGTGCAGCTGTCACGCATCCTCGACCGTGAGGGGCCATCTGGAGCATCTTTTGTAGTCACTGTTAAACGGATGTGAAACATCTGACTAACCAATAGTACTGCTTGTGTTTTCACATTGCATTGACAGTCAAGTACAGGTACAATCCCGATTTTGCGACCAATACGCTTGCCTTTCTTCAGGTAATCGTTCGGCAACTTTTCTTTGGGTTACTTAGTACTTAAACGGGTGCCGCATGCTGCAGTCCATTTTTTGTTGCTCTGATCCACCCGTGTGATCTCATAAAAGTCCGCCAACTTTTGCAGACTGTCCTAGTCAGCGGAAGAGTCGGCATGTAGTTACACTAGGCGCCTACAGAATACTATCTGACACACAATGAGCATGATATCAACGGTGATGTCAGGTATGTATAGGTACCTAGTGTACCAATGGTTCAGATGAACTTCCTGCAATTTATTGGCCCAGTAATCCCTTTTCCTATGCGTTGGGGGCTCATAACAGCATTGAGGGTGCTTCAGTCAGCATTGGGGGCTCAGCCCAGCCGTCCCCAAAAAAACGTACAAAGTTATGCCCCCTAGACGTGGCACACGTCAGTACGCGGGATATAGATCAAAGTATCGCCAGAACGCAGAGCAGAGGTAACAGGAGGTACAGAGGTACACAGAGATACACAGACACAGCGCATACCAGTCGGTTATGTCAGTACGCAGACACAGCGGATACCAGTCGGTTACGTCAGTGCACAGACACAGCGTGTACCGGTCGGTTACATTAGTACACAGGCACAGCGCACACCAGTTGGTTACGTAAGTACACAGACACAGCGCACATCAGTTGTTTACGTCAGTACACAGTCACAGCGCACACCAGTTTGTGACGTCAGTACACAGACACAGCGTGCACCAGTTGGTTATGTCAGTACACCTACACAGCGTGTACCGGTCGGTTACGTCAGTACACAGACACAGCGTGTACCGGTCGGTTGCAGTACACAGACACAGTGTGTCCGGTCGGTTACGTCAGTACACAGACAAAGCGTGCACCAGTTGGTTACGTCAGTGCACAGACACAGCGTGCACCGCCCGGTTACGTCAGTACGCAGACACAGCGCACACCAGTTGGTTACGTCAGTGCAAAGACACAGCATGTACCGGTCGGTTGCATTAGTACACGGGCACAGCGCACACGAGTTGGTTACGTCAGTACACAGACACAGCGCACATCAGTTGTTTACGCCAGTACACAGTCACAGCGCACACCAGTTTGTGACGTCAGTACACAGACACAGCGTGCACCAGTTGGTTATGTCAGTACACCTACACAGCGTGTACCGGTCGGTTACGTCAGTACACAGGCACAGCGTGCACCAGTCGGTTACTTCAGTACACAGACATAGCGTGCACCGGCCGGTTACGTCACACACCTGTTGGTTACGTCATTATACATACACAGCGTGTACCGGTCGGTTACGTCAGTACACAGATACAGTGTGCACCGGTCGGTTACGTCAGTACACAGACAAAGCGCACACCAGTTGGTTACGTCAGTACACAGACACAGCGTGCGCCGGTCGGTTACGTCAGTACACAGACATAGCGTGCACCGGCCGGTTACGTCACACACCTGTTGGTTACGTCAGTACACAGACAAAGCGTGCACCAGTTGGTTACGTCAGTACACAGACACAGTGTGCACCGGTCGGTTACGTCAGTACACAGACAAAGCGTGCACCAGTTGGTTACGCCAGTACACAGACACAGCGTGTACCGGTCGGTTACGTCAGTGCACAGACACAGCGTGCACCGGTCGGTTGCGTCAGTATACAGACACAGCGTGCACCGGTCGGTTGCGTCAGTATACATACACAGCGTGCACCGGTCGGTTACGTCAGTATACAGACACAGCACGCATCATATGGTCACATCAACATAACAAAGCGGAAACAGCAGCCTGTCACATCATAATGCCATCATAAGACGTCGGACGACTACGGCAATGTCAGTCTACCGTCAGGCTACAGAGATGACCACACCAATCCACGCACTAAAACGCGCCAGCTGATCCCTTTTTTTCTCCTGCTTTCCGGTTCCGATCGGTCATGTATAAGAACAATGTCATAGCATATGCGACGCACTTTCTTTGGGAGCCCCATTCACCCAAACGGTCGGGGCTCCAACCACCCAACTATATGTTAACATCCGCAAAGTCTCACGCGTGTTGCAGCTGCAACGCTGACAAGATTGCGTAGATCTCCATAATACGTCCTGTCCTTGATGACGTCACTTTACTGGCACTGCACTTCTCGGCCGTTCCACTAATGTACCGACCCAGCTCACACCGGCTGACCGTGATGATATGCCGACCAAGCACATATCAGCTGACCGTTGCGCCGCACTGACGCATGACACGTCAACTGACCACCTCATCCTGCGGGCACGGCACACGTTAGCTGACTCCATCAGTCCACCTATATGGGACCATTAGGTGGTCACGTTATTTCACCGACAGGACACACATTAGCTGACCACACCAGTCTTCCGACCAGCACATGCCAGCCGGTCAACTTTCTTGACAGACGCATCACACATGCGCTGATCAAGTCAATATTCTGACCCAGATCATCAGCTCATTACGTCAGTCTTCTGACCCAGCACATCAACTGACCACGTCAGTCTTCTGTCTAAGCATATCAGCCGATTACGATAGCCTTCTGACTCAGCACATCAACTGGTCACGTCAGTCTTCTGGATGAGCACATCAACTGGTCACGTCAGTCTTCTGGATCAGCACATCAGCTGATCACGTCTATCCACCGGTGTGGCAGACGTGCAGCAGCCACCAGCTTTGCCCCCTACTTCGACAGTCTACCAACACACTGGATGACTACGCCAGTTTGCTGACGTCTGACACAGTACACGTTAGCTGCTCCGAGGGACCGCCCACGTCGAATGATCGTGGCACTCCACCGGCACAGCACACGTTAGCTGCTCCGAGGGACCGCCCACGTCGAATGATTGCCACGCTCCACCGGCACAGCACACATCAACCTGCTCTCGTCCGGCCACAAATACAGCACACGCCAGAGATGCGCGCTGATCCATCGACGGAGCACACGTGATTAGCCGGCCACGCCGCCCACAGCACACCTCGCGGCAGTTGGCTGTTGGACTTCGGCTGACTCAGCGAAGCTGTCGACCAGCGAAGTCAGCGGAGCGAAGCGACCGCTCGTGTCTGACGTAAACAGGCGCGTGCTCAGTGTGCCGAAAAATGGCCCAATTCCCAAATTTGCGTCCTAAATGTGAAAATATCTTACAATGCGAGGTAGGTGTGTACTTACTTATCATTACTATCATTTTCACACGACGGCAAGGCGAAACACGTACCTGTCATGACAGTCAAGACCTGCGGAAGGAGACGCCCGCTGGACATGATTCAGCTGCTGTAGTCTCCAGTGCGCCTCAGCCCTCCACGCCCATTTCCACTGAGCCGAGTCGCCTTATCGTTCTGCAGTGATCGCGTGCCTCCGACTGGCAACGGGCAGCTGATAACGGATCGTCCCGTGACGCCGTGGAGTAGGCGGGGCGCTGCGCCGCGGCCAGTGACAACTATAATGCCGCTCGCGCGGCCGCCGTGCAGCACCTCCTTGGAAAGTTCCGTGACGTTGATGATGTATTCATATTCTGGTTCAATTACGACAGAGGATTCTTAAAACTTCGCCAAGGGGTGTTCTTGTGAAGCTCATCAGGAATATCACGAGTTTGAGCGCTGTTTGGGGACCGTGGCTGCCATTCAGGGCCAGATTCAGGATCGGAGGGCCGGGATACGCCATTCTGATAAACGTTACCAGTGAAATAGAACAAAACCGGTCCGAAAAGATCGCCCGGGTCAAACTCTGAGATGAGGGAGATCCTAGTCGACGTCCAAAACCACTCTCGCCAAATACTCTCTGCTGAGGTTTAGGAAGGTTTTCATCGCGATAGTAATCGACCCTGGATGTCTAATTCAAGCTAAAGGGCGATGATGTGTCTACATATATGGTGTAAGTAAAACGCCACATGGTCGACGCCTGAGGGGCTCATGCAATGGTTCTCGCCTGAGGGGCGAAATATTACGGAGCGGGATTGGTCATTTAACTAACCATCAAACGTGGAATAGCAGTGCAAAGCTGTGCTCAGATTAGTCGGCCTTTATCTAGGATGCTTCATGTAGTGTTAAAAATGATGTGTACTCGGCTGACATTTGAGGTAATAGCTCTAGTCACAAAAGGTACCATCAACCTGGTTCGTACTTCAAACAACGACTAAAATTTTGATAAGACAGCGTAATAATGATTACATTCGAAGGCCGCACAGAAAGCCGGTAATTACGAAATGCCAGCTTTTCCTGAATACCGGGCTGCGCTAACCGGATGCAACCGATAAGAGCCGCAGTTGGTCGCAACTTGTTTAAGAAAACTGTGTACCTTCATCCTACATACAAAGACACATCGCTTCGGCTACGTTGATGGGGGGGAAAACCAATGGCCGGTGGGCCAATACACGCCTTAGCCAGACAGCTCCCGAGAGTTATGCTGTGTTGTAGTGTCAGGTAAGGTAACTCGGAAATAGTTACCGTAGCAGGTGCCTCATATGTGCTTTACACAACAGAGTGGTGATTCTGATTCATAAGTATGCAGCAGCAGCAAACATGTGCCTGCATTCTGTGGCTTCGTTTTAACAGGAGACACACCACTCTTATCAGCTTTTCTCGCATTCTTTTCGGTAGGCATTATGTGAAGCTTCCCAGACTGCATGGCCTGCAATAGTCGATGCTTATAATGCTTATACCCCCCCCCCCCCCAGCTTTCCAGTTTGTTTCTGCTCAAAGTGCTGTGACAAAACTTATCGCTTGAATAACGGTGGGCGAAATCCAAGCGCATGAAAACACTTTCGCGCTGCGGGTCATGATTGAAATACAAAAAATCCTGCTGACCGGTACCCAGGCCGTATTTTGGCGTCTCAGATGACAAAATATGATGCATCTGTTGCGTCATTGGGATGGCATCTGCCTCCTCGGTTTAGTAAACCGAGGAGGCAGATGCTATCCCAATGACCCAACGTGCCTACCCGCTCAGAGAACCTCGCCTCTCAAAGGTAAACAATGTTGAAATGAAGATTCTATTTTGGGAAGCTGGTAGTCTTATTTTCCGAATGGTATAGATAAGTCGAATGGATCAGGTTAAGAAGAAAGCATCCTTTGATGCATATTTAGCGTAGCAACCACAACGGTCACTTATTTCCAACATGTGTGATGTTTAATATGAACGGACAAACTCACCCATCCCTACCCCTCATCCAAAATAATAATATGCCAAAATAATTGGATCTCTGTCCACGATTACCCAACGTGAAAAATACTTGTTCGCGCGTACAAGTCTGAAGGTAGTCTTCACGTTCATTTGTATGAAATACAAATGCCTCAGCCCAAGCTCTCCCGAGGCTCCAACCTAGCGCCCTGATGCGACGGTATCACTGCTGATGCATATGCTGCAAACAGGAGACTTAAGCACGACACAGGAAAGCTGTTAGGAAAACAGTCCTAATGAAAATGCTTATGTCATAAAAAGACAAAGCTCGAAGATCATAAGAAGTTTTCGTTTAACCTGGGCAAGCCGGTCCTTAAAATGCTTCACACGGCCGGCTGGACATGATCCCACATTATTATCATCGCACAGAAAACAGTGGAACGCCCTAGCAAAGTGAGCTCGTCATTGCGAACGGAATAAGCACATTCCATTTTCGCTTGGATAAATGCTTAAGCCTTCGGAGGTAATTACAGCTCAGGCTGGGCCAGAGTTGAATTGAGACAATGAAATGCAAGATTTCTTTTTGGGGGAATGCTAAGATAGTTGTTAATGAATGTATGTCGAATATCAAACGGTCGAATACATAATACATGCATTAGTCATGTGAACGTAAGTGTTATGGAATGTATGTAACGCATAACAGAACGTTTTTATCCGTTTTTAGAAACTTGACCATGCAAAGATCTTCAAATTCTTTATGTGACGAATAGAACATGGCGATAAATGTAATATGCAAATATTCCCTATTAGTTAGGATGCTACTATAGTCGACTAAAACCGTAGCTTCATGCGTGGTCCAAGAACATATTTCACAATGACAATATTATGCGAGGCACCTACATGCGAAACCACGCCTCCAGGTGTGTAACATGAACATGAAAGTTGTGCACCCTTTCACCTTTTCAAGTAATATCTAAGATGCATCACTTTCCAACCACGCGGTGATTCAGTCACCTCCAACACGGACTGAAGACATTGGACACACTCGGACAATCTAGGGAATGTCGCCCAGTGGTCATTTAAGTAGGTCTCATATTGTCGTGAATTCGTGGAGAATACAATGTGACAGGTGCAGCAACAGCCACACACATGCCTTCATTCAGGCCTGTGAAGTTTTAATGTTTTGCCATTAAAATTTTGCTTGGTGTGGCGGTTTTTCAAACATGTGCGTAAACCTGGGAGGGACAGGAGCATAGTGACCCCTACCATCGGTGAAAGCGATATGTGTGTCCCCACTCAGCGGGCTCCAGGTCGGATCAAATTGTGCTAAGCAGGGCGTAGTTTCACACAAGAGAATGGCTGAACAGTGAAAACATGCCCAACCTACCCACAAAATATGCCAACAAACAGGATGTACCCGAGATTTGGTTCACTTTCTTCCCGAAGCTGGGGGAGGGGACCGGAGCCTAAGTTGGAGACGGGCAGGCTGAGCCCCCAACTGAAAAGGAAATCACATACCTGGTGCCTTGCCACACAACAGGGAAGTTTGACAGGGAATAGCGTACCCCAGCCCGAGCTTGGCCGGAAAACGCTGATTGGACAGTGGTATAACTTACAAAGCTACCTTTGAACATAAACGAGGTGACAAGTAGCAGACATACTATATATCAACAAAATATTGAGAACGTAATGAACGCATTACGCATTGAACGAAAGCCGAAAACGCGGATGGGTTGCCGGTTGAAAAAAGATCCAGTTTCCTTCATTGCACGGCATAAATTTAGTTGCTGCTGTTTCCATCTCTCGTTGCGTGGATTGCGCGCCAGCTACAAAATGTTGCTTCTTGAATAAACAGCCGAGTGAGAAGAAACGCGTTATCGCGTGTTTATGAGAGCGCGGAACACAAGCGTGAGAGTTGCTGCTTCTAGGTGCGTGAAATATATGTAGACGATGCTGGTACTAACGTGCATAGCTGTATTGCCTTCCCACATCTTGTATAACTTTAGTGACACTGTTTTTAAGAGAAGGTAGGGTTGCAATGTTATGATGATGACAAGCGTCGACTCAAACCTCAGGCAAGGATGTAGTCTTAACGAGGTGAAACATTCACGTGCAAAGAATATCAGCGGTGCTGATGGAGGGGCTATATGTGTCAGAAATCCCAGATATAGTGGTATTTGTGCAAGGTAATCCAGTTTTCCATGATTGTGTGATGTGCATGCTGGTAGCCACTAAAGTTGTCAAAAGCTTGCTTGGTGAGGCATTTTGTATGCTGCATTTCTCAGTGACACATTTTGCAAAGTGAATTTGAGGGACTGAACCATGAAAATAATGACAAGCAGGTTTCTCCCCAGATCTTGCTCACTTTTCTCTCAAAGGTGGGGAGGCTGGAGCCCATGTTTGGGGGGGGGGGGTAATACCTCACAGCTGAATAGGAAACTGCACCCCTGATCATTATACTATGTTTTCTTAAAGCTAAAATAAATCCCTTTTTACTAGCAGATATTGTACTTGCTGCTTTCATTCCATGATAGGGCATGGAGGTCATCAAGCTTTTTCCCATGCAATCATTGCCTCCATACTTGACATACAGGTGATGGCATTTAATCTAGTAAATCAAGAATCATAGGTTAATATTGGAAATATATTAGCCATTTCATTTTGCAAGTGTGTTTCTATTTGGCTTGATTTTTGTCCTTGTTTCTATTTTTACGTTAAGATGAATAATCACTCAGAATGCAGGGCTCAGATCATTTACCCCTTTGTAGATGACCTGGTTATGCATGATAGTTCTGATGATAATGTATTGTAATTACAAAGACAAGTTATTGTAATTGCTGCTACTTTACAGGATGGAAGGGACCACACTGGACCAAGTTCAAGACCATGATGAAAGGACTCATAGCACAGCTGCTGAAAGGCAATTCTGTCACTCAGGAAATATCAAAGCTGCAGTGGCTTACTTATCTCAGGTACCAATCCTTGCTCAGAAATCAAGTGAATAAGGCAGCTGACCTGTAAGTAGTAAGGTGCCAGTAGCATGAGCTAAATATGTCAAGACTCCAGAAATAAGCTTTACATTGCTTAAACAGTTCAGGACCTTCCAAAAGCTGTCATGCATTTTGAAAGATTCCAGGGTATGTTTACCTCTAGTATCTATTTTGCATACTAACAGTGACTGATTGTGGACATTGCCCCACTGTATACCAATATCCTGTCACCCCTGACAGATAGCACTGTGCCCCAGGAGCTGTCACTCATGGGCCTGCCGCCGGTGGTCGACCGCGAGCGGGGAGAGCTGGAGCCCGTGACGCTGGTGAATGCTGCCTGGCATCTGCTCTGTCACTCCCGCGAGGGCATCAACTTGCAGAACGAGCTGCAGCAGCGGCTGGCGCTGGCCACCGCCGATAAACAGCTGCTCCAGGTGAGCCGTTTTGTGGCCTGAGGTTGCCGTGGGTAGAAGCTGTGGGCAGTCGATTAGCGCTGGGGTGACAGGCAAGCAGGTGCTGAGAACATCAAGCAGATATGCCAAGCTGGGGATGGCAGGGAAGTGTCTGCTAGCGATACCCAGACGAATTGGTGTTGTGGACAACATACATGTAGCTGCTGGTGGCAGCATGAGAAACTGTCTACTCTTGCCCTATTTGTTTGTGCTTTTACACATGTGCGCTGTAACCATGTTTAAACTGTACTCTTGACCAAATCTACACGCCTTTTGTGCTCGTAGGTCTGGCGTCCTACCTACCTAGCATCTACTGGTCCCTCCGAACTCCCCCGATCTTGTAGGCATTTTCCAGATCAGAGTGACGTCACTTGGCCCTTAGCTGGGCGTTGCCGTCAGACCAGTCATATGTGGTGCGGTCGTATGCACTAGTGAATAGCGAGCTGCGTGTACTGCGCTCGGTCGCTGTGTGTGTTGTCGTGTGGGGTGAAACGACTGTCGCCTTAGATGTACCCCAAGTCAAAGCAAGTCAGCATGCTGCCGTGGTAATATCCCATGTCCCGCTCCCTGCCGGCTTCTGCTATTGAGCGGTGATACCCCTCGTCCCCGCTCCCCGCCGCCCCCTGCTGCCGGGCGGTGATACCCCTGTCACGCTCCCCGCTGCCCCTCCTGCTGTCCTGCGGTAGTGCTCTGCACGTTCCCCGCTCTCCCTCTGCTATGGTGCGATGTCCCGCTCTCCACCGCCCCCTGCCGCCGGGCGGTGATATCCCCTGTCCCGCCCCCCGCCGTCCTATGCTGTCGGGCGCCGACGTCCCGTGCGTGACCGGCAGGTGAGCCTGACTCGGTGCCGTGAGCGGCTGGCGGCGCTGGAGAGTCGCTCCGAGCAGCAGCAGGAGCAGCAGCGGCAGCAGGCGGCCCGGCTGAGCGGCTGCCAGACGCGGCTGGCCGAGGCCAGGGAGGAGGTGGGTCCTCCACCCGCCGAACCTGACGCTTCCGCCAGGCACCCGGAGCGGTGTGAAGCGGTCCAACGGGCAAGCGGCGAGCGGGCATGAGCTCGATTGCCGATAGAGCCTTTCAGTTTTAGACTTATGGCGATACAGTGTCGACCTGCACGTGCCGATGCAGGCGTATAGCTCTGTGAAAGCCGCCGGTGCACTGGTGGCTAAGCCATCCGGGCCGGCTACCGGCTGTCAGAGCCTTAGTCTGCGGGCCGTCGGTGGCCGTGCTGCAACTGTAGAGCCCCGCCGTCCGCCGCTTCCGCCGGCCGTCCACTGACGGTTGGGTCCGTTGCCGGCAGACGCGGCGGCAGCAGGCCCTGGGCCAGCAGCGCGCCGCCCACTACCAGCACGACCTGAAGAAGCAGGAGCGCCAGATGGAGCGGCTCAAGGACATGTGAGTGCCGCCCGCGCGCCTGCCTGATGCCAGGGGGCGCTGCTGATGTTCAGGGGCTTGGAGTGCAGCTGCCGGTGCCGCCGTGCCCGGTGGTGCTGCCGAGTCCGAGACAGATGTAGGGGCAGCACCAGTCGGGGATATGATGGCGGTGCGCGGCCCAAGGCAGATACAGGTGGCAGCACCAGTCCTGGGTCCGTTGGCACTGCCGGATCCGAGACAGCTGTAGGTGGCAGCACTAGTCGTGAGTCTGATGATGCCACCCGGGCCAAAACAGATGTAGGTGGCAGCACCGGTCCTGACAGGTTCAAAGGAGCTGGCATTCCCGTATGCGACGTGCTGATGACCGCCCGCCGCTCCCGCTGGCCCTAGGCCCGCCTTTCTCGGGTTCCCAGCAAAGTGGTCGACGCGACAAGGCCGGGTCTCTGGACTAGTGCAGCATGGGAGAGAAAGGAGACAGAGTCCTGGCATACATCACAGTCACATGGCTTATCCAACCTATTGTATGTGATGCTTGCTCGGAGCGCGGACCATGCAGCGCGATGGTCTTGTTTGTCCTGAGCGGGTGTGTGATGCTAAGCGTGATGGGTTGTGGGCACGCCGAATATACCTGTGGACTCCGCGTCGCGCTGAGACGCTGCTGCCGCTGCGCAGGATCCACCGGCTGCTGGACAAGCAAAGCCAGGAACGGCGGTCCGGCATCGTCATCTCGAGCCTTCTGGGACGGCAGGACGGCTCGCGTGCCAAGTGGCGCACCCCGGCCACCGCCATCAGGTACTCCCCGTGCTGTCGCTGGGGTCGGGTGGAGACGCATCCTGCTGTCCGAAGCATCTCGCGCAGAGGTATCCTGCTATCTCCAGCATCGGATGCAGGAGTTACCCATTCGTATCCAGCATCGGGTACATGCAGACTACCCGCTGTCGCTGGTATCAGGCACACACGTACCAGCTGTCGCCGACGTTAGGTACGGACGCGCCCGCTGTCGCCAGCAGCAGGTGCAGGCGTACCCGCTGTCGCCAGTACCAGGTGCAGACGTACCTTGCATCTGCATCGGGTACAGACTCTCCAGATACTAGGGTGTGTAATAGTGCTGACGCATAGTCACTTAGGGTGGGCACTAACACCCTGGCTCGACATGGTGCACAGATGTGACTGGTTGAGGCTAACATGGCGCGCGGACGTACGTCAGCTCTTACCAGTACATGCGGTGACGTACGCACACATTGCGCGTGATTCCATCCATTTTTTTCTGACAGCCTGCCTTGGGTGCGTGTGTGGACCGTGTAACATCGATGCCAGTGTGTACCTGCTGTGGCTGGCTTGCTTGTGTGCAGGACACCGCTGCAGGTCTACGAGTGCCGTTTCCGTGGATGTGCATCGCGCCCTAAACGCGGCCAATGCGGGAGGGATTGCGGGAGTCTGTGGAGGCAAGCAGTGGCGAGCCGCGACATCACCACGTCGACGAAGTGTGATACAGAGGTGCTGCGCGCTTGAGACCTTGGCGTAGTAACGGAAGCCCGACTCTGACGCAGATGACAGCGATTCCATCACTGTCATCCATGCGCCGCATCTTTGCATGGGTGGGCAATGGCGCACCTAATGGAATGCTCCAGGCTATCTGCATTCGTAATTCGCTAGTTGCTGCACCATTTGTACGAGGATATGCATTTCTGCGCCACGTGAAATATATCCGTGCTATACGTACGTAAGCCAGGTATAACCGGAGGTGACCGCCATGTGCCGGTTTCTGCGCCCGTGGGTGTTAGTGGAACGGAGGATATAACACTGACGTACCTGGGCGCCGCTCGCTCTGTCGAACATTATTGGCACCCCCGTGCTGATGCTCTTTGTTGTCGAGGAACAAAGAATCTTCCCTAAATTTGTGTTAGTTTTTGGAATATAACACTTGCGGTGCTTTTGCGCTTCTGTTATAGGTATGTCGACCACCCTGCTGTAACAATGTCCGGAAAACGCAGCAGTCCTTTCAGTAGGTCCATGACCGAGACAGTAAATGGTATTTACTAGCTCAGCGTGCCGTCCAGCTCGCAGGTCGCGTGACTCCTAACTATCATATGTGACGTACTGCACGGGTCTTCCGTGTAAGCCAAACAGGGCGCTGGACTCGGTCGGGTTTTCGGATTCAGAGGCGACGACAAGCTATTTATGGCTACTGGTGTCCTCGATCTCACATCGTGAACGAATGTGTCGTTGATGCTTGCTTTTGGTGCAAGAACTCGCCTAACTTGTTAGTGCATCCAAGTGTTCCGATGCGTTCTCGGCGGCGCCCCCGTCACTTTTTACGGGCCTGCTTTTGTACTCTCCGTTGGCCAATAACTGGGGAGGTGTGTTTCGGAACCTCGTTTGAACTTGATTAAACTGTGGCTGTTTTATATGTCTCCTGGGGACGAGGGCATGCCCGCAGGCTATTGATTGTTCACGCCAACGCAACTTTGGGGTTTCCCTAAAGTACCGCGTGTTGGTTTACACGTACGTGACGATGCTGTACGGATATGTTCAGGTTAGCTAAATGTTTTCTTTTTCTGTATTGGATGAGACTACATGTTAAGTTGACTCGGTGGCCTAATGTTAGCATTAAGAGTTATTCACACCAGGGCGGTGACCAGAAACCGACAGCGTCTTTTGCGTTGTACGCACCACTTTTTTGCACATAAGTGCAATCGTTTAGAAGTAATTTAACAACTCAGTGTCGAAGGACTCGTTTCGTATATGCCCAGCGATCTAAATGCGTAAAACGTCAGAAAAAAACAAAACATTACAACACGTCCGCACAGATTGCATCGAAAGGAGCGGCCCTGAGGTGTCTGAATAGCATGAAACGGTTGAAATGATGATACCGACTGTCAATATGGTCATGATACCACTGACACTCCCTGCATGCATTGGCCAGTAGCCAGATATAGAAACAATAGGCTCCTATATTTAAGGTATAGATTTTCATGTCGCCGATTTCCCATATTCCTACACTGCTGGCCTATGTACGGAAGGCTCGTTTTTCCAAATATGCGAAACTTCATTTGCCATATTTGGCTATCACATGCGTTTCATGTTTGTGACATATGCGATGCATGGCCTTCTTTGTGTGAGCACTAATGCCTCCGTTCGCACACCGATTGTGTTACTCGCTTTGCGTGTATTGGACACGCCAGCCAGTGTGTCAGTCAATGGCGCTACATCATAGCATGGACAACTTTAAAATATGTCACAGAACCAGCAGTCCTACCTTGGCTTGGAATGGCACCGGCACAATCACCTCCTTCGCCGTCAGCTTTGGCTTCCAGTCGCGATCATCTGCCCGTCCCTGCCGTCGGTGCTGGTGGATGCCTGCAGCGGTGCGGCCTGGCGCGCCTCCCCCACTCCCTTCCCGCCGACCATCGCCCTTCCCGCCGCCCGTCGCTCTGACGCTGACCGTCGCCCTTCCCGCCGCCGTCGCCCTGACGTCGACCGTCGCCCTGACGCCGACCGTCGCCCTTCCCGCCGCCCGTCGCCCTTCCCGCCGCCCGTCGCTCTGACGCTGACCGTCGCCCTTCCCGCCGCCCGTCGCCCTGACCCTGACCGTCGCCCTTCCCGCCGCCCGTCGCCCTGACGCCGACCGTCGCCCTGACGCCGACCGTCGCCCTGACGCTGACCGTCGCCCTTCCCGCCACCCGTCGCCCTTCCCTCCGCCCGTCGCCCTTCTCGCCACCCGTCGCCCTGACGCCGACCGCGCCGCCAGGCATAAGGAGGAGGCGTACGAGCGCGTGCTGGCCGGCTGCGAGGCGCGCCACCTGCGCGCCGTCCAGGAGACGCAGCAGCTGCGCGCCGCGCTCGTCTCCCTGCTGCGCGCGCTCGCCGCCGCCAGCGAACAGGTGAGCCAGGATCGCCAGCTAGCGCCGCGTTGCGTGTGGTGCTCCGCGGCGACTGAAGGTGCGGGGTGGCGACTACGCGGACGTGCGGCTTACGGTAGAGGCGCTAGAGCCGCCAGCGCGCTGGAGTCGAACTCCTGCGCGCAACGGATATTTGCGTTGCATCAACCTGCACTCGGGTTATCAGGTGAGGACCGCCTGGACGTCTGAGCCGCCTCGATGTTGTGAAGGCCGTGGTCGTGGTTAGATTGACTCGACTGGACCGTGTCGGTACGTCCAAATGTGGCCCACCGGGTGAGGCAGCGCACAGCAGCCTGCCTAGTCCATCGGCCGCGCACGTCGTTCGGCGAACCGTTGTCCAGCCCCCAGTCCGCCCGGCCTCACGCTGCCAGTGTGCGTCAGGCGAGGCGCCGGTGGGCCGCCCCGTCCTTCCGCGCTGTTCCGGCGCCGCGGGCTCTGGGAGAACCGCACCGGCGCCATCCGTCGCGTCGGGGCCGTTTCTGTGGCGTGACCGCCGCGCGACCGACCGGTGAGCACCGTGTGACCGACAAGCGACGGCCGCGTGACCGACACGTGCCCGACATGTGACCGACGCGTGACCGGGCAGGTGCCGTGCGAAAAGGGCTGCTCGGCCTGCGGCGACGCTGACCTGCTCCCTAACGTGGAGCTGGGCCTGCCGTTCGAGCTGGTTAGTCGCCGGCTGGACGGCATGGTCTCCTGCTTGCAGACGAAGCTGGCTCTTCTGACCGAACGGGAAGGTGAGCGGCGCCAGACGGGTGCCCGCTGGTGCCGGCCGTCTCTGAGGCTGCTTGTAGATGATTTTTGCTTCATTTCACCCTTTCCGCTTTGATCTCTTCCAGGATAAAACACGTTTTCCACGAGATGGGCACAAACTTGATCAAAGTCTAGACTTGTCAAACAGTTGAAACACATTTTTACTCACGTCTGTTTGTTTTTGAGCTGTAGTGAACCCTGAAAGTAAGCGTAGTACCCAGCTCGCACACGGGATCACACGTCAGCGTACCACCGTGAAAATAACCACGAACACTGCAAACCCTGGACTCGTATACGTCGTATAATGGTGTGCACGGCGTTCCATCACGCTGCGGCCGCCGGCTCGCTTCGTGCTGACCGCGGCCGCGGCGTCCGCGGCAGGCGGCGGTGTGCCGGGCATGCAGGACCCAGCGGTGGCCGACGGCGCCCAGCTGGTGCGAGAGCTGCGCCAACAGCTGGAGACCGCCGAGCGGACCGTCCTGGAGCAGCGCCAGCTGATCATGGGCACCACAGGTGACTGGGCACCACTGGTGACGGGACGGGCGCCACTGGTGACGGGACGGTACCACTGGTGACGGGACGGGCACCACTGGTGACGGGACGGACGCCACTGGTGACGGGACGGGCACCACTGGTGACGGGACGGGCGCCATTGGTGACGGGACGGGCACCACTGGTGACGGGACGGTACCACGTGTGACGGGACGGGCACCACGTGTGACGGGACGGGCACCACTGGTGACGGGACGGTACCACTGGTGGCGGGACGGGCACCACTGGTGACGGGACGGGCGTCACGTGTGACGGGACGGGCACCACGTGTGACGGGACAGGCACCACTGGTGACGGGACGGTACCACTGGTGACGGGACGGGCACCACGTGTGACGGGACGTGCACCACTGGTGACGGGACGGACGCCACTGGTGACGGGACGGTGCCACTGGTGACGGGATGGTACCACTGGCGACGGGACGGTACCACTGGTGACGGGACGGGCACCACTGGTGCAGAACGGGGCACCCAAGGCTTGTGACGAGCTGAGGGACTGTAGGCAGTGGCACTGTATCCATAATGCCAGCCGTAGCATTAGTGATGGAGGATGAGAGTGGTGCTGCAGGAGCGTGCTTGTAGCCCAGTTGGATTATGAATCTGAGACAGCTGCGCACTGGCGGTATTGTGATATCCATTGCTCCATTTTGGTGGAACTTTGCAACCTTTAAGACCATTTACATCGCAAACGTTATAACATTGTTGAACCATCATGGACTTTGGCCAGTCACCCCAGCCATGACGTCATATGGCTGGGGCATACTGGCTTTGTTCATGCCGCGAACTGACACGCGTCAACGGCTGCCATAGTGTGACGCTTCTCCGTTTCTGTTGTAACACCCACGGTGTGGCCACGGTGTGAGCGGCTGGGTCAGTGGCGGAGTGCTCGGCTTCCGACCGGGTGGGTGCGGGCTCGACGCTCGTCGCCGGCCGCGTCTCGGCGTCCTCCCTGGGGACCAGCGGCAGACGTTGTGACGCACATGGCACCGGCAGTTCAGTGATTCCGTTGTCTACACATGGGCAGGGGACGTTCCCGTTCCTAATTCGGGATCTGCGACTGTACCTGGCCCAGGTGAATGTCGATGGACATATGTGCTCATCATGCCCGCACAGATGAGGCATCTGTAGGAGCGCTGCGGGTCTGGAACTGAGCCCCGCGTGTTGGCGCGTTGGTGGTCGTTTCCATAGACACGGACGTAAGCCACCGGCTGGTCACGTATGCAGATGGCCATCATGTCTTACGCAGTCTAAACTTCCCCAGGTTGCATGGCTATGCTTGGGGCCGTGGTAACGGTATACTAATGGCGAGAGCCGTGGCTCGCCTTAGTTAATGCCCCGCTCAGCTGCAGGCGGCCGCTAGCCGGCATTCGAGCCTGCTGTAAGCCGGCCACTCGGTCGTATTTCAGCGGGCCCTGACGGCCGGTGGCGCGTCACCCGAGTAATCGGCTAATGCAGAGAGAGCCCCTGCGGCGCGGCGGGGCGCGGCAGCACGCCCGATTTGTTCAACAGCAGCGGCACTCTTGATGGCCGACGCGTCTCTGGCGGTGGCCAGCATACCCGTAACGCCTCCGGACTGAGCAGCCCGTGGCAGGGCACAGTCGGCTAAGATGGATCGCTTGGTGTCGGTGCAACGCCGAGTTGATGTGCGGACACGCCCGGTGTGTGACGAATGACACGATGTTGCTGCGTGCCCCGGTGTCGAATCTTTGCTGTCGTCCCTAACGTTTGTCCCGTCTTGGCCTGAATTGGTCCTGCTGTTGTCTTGTTATCCCGTTTCTTTACTATTTCTGGTGGACTTGACGGGAATTTTTCCAGGTGCGTACCTTTTTCGCGTGGTGCATGGGCCTGGGGCTTCCGAAGTTGTGCTGACTGGCGTAAACAGGGACTGGCGCCTTGTCATGTCGAGATTCATGAAGGCGCCTTGCTTGCATCTGAAATGCCAGCATCTGTCAAGTGCTGTGAAATTCAGGGACCATTCGTAATCAAAGCGTGGTCCGTAATCACCGAAACAGAGATTGCTTTCGGTGCACATCTGGCTGGTGAGATTGGATCGGAGGCGGCCGCTCAGGCCATGCATCACGGGTCTGCGCGAGCCTTGCTGCCGTCCAGATGGATCAGACCCGGCGTGGTCCGATCCGTTGCAGGACAGACGAGCGGCCGGCCCGGGAGGGCGGGCGGGCGGGAGCCGAGAGCGAGCCTTGCTGCCGTCCAGATGGATCAGACCCGGCGTGGTCCGATCCGGTGCAGGACAGACGAGCGGCCGGCTCGGGGGGGGGGGGGAGGGGGCGGGCGTGCGGGAGGGGGTCGAGAACGCCCTCTGTAGCTGGACTGCGGACGGCGGGCCTGAGCCGCCCGGCGAGGCTCCACCAATGGGGCCGGCGTCTCTGGAGTGTTCCTGTGCTGCTCTGTCATGTTCAGCTGTAGCCGAGCTATGTAGAGGCCGCCGCTCGGGGAGGAGGGAAGGGATAAACCTGGCTCTTAGTTGCATGGTTCACTGCGCCCTGAAGCGTGTCGAGTCAGTAATCAGCCTCGCTGGTCCATGACACGCCTGTGTGCTTGTTTTAACGGATTGGTTAACGGGTCTGAACCGCTTGACACTATGTTTGAGTGTTTCAGGCATCTGGTATTTTGTTTTGGAGTATTATGGTATTACATCATTGACGCATATTCTTTGAAGTGCGCAGTTTGCGTGCGGTGCGAAGCTATTTGACGGCTTTGCGTGTGACGATGACCAGTTAGCGGCGGACTCTGAAAAACCCGACGGCAAGATCGGAGTGATCCTAGTGCCAGCCGGTCACCAGAGCTGCCTGTCCGCCTGCGGTGTCCGATGGTGTAGCGGCCGCGCTGCCGACGAGGCCGGCCTCCCCAGCGTGCCTCGCCGGCCGCGCCCGCCGACATCCGCTGACACCCGCTGACACCCGCCGACATCCGTTGACACCCGCTGATATCCGCTGACACCTGCTGACACCCGCCGACATCCGCTGACATCTGCTGACACCCGCTGAAATCCGCTGACACCTGCGACATCCGCCGACATCCACTGACGCCCGCTGACACCCGCCGACATCCGCTGACACTCGCTGACATCCGCTGACGCCCGCTGACATCCGCTGACACCTGCTGACACCCGCCGACATCCGCTGACACCTGCTGACACCCGCTGAAATCCCCTGACACCTGCGACATCCGCCGACATCCACTGACACCTGCTGAAATCCGCTGACACCTGATGACACCCGCCGACATCCGCTGACACCCGCTGAACATCCGCTGACATCCGCTGACACCCGATGACACCCGCTGACACCCGCTGATATTCGGTGACATTTGCTGACATTTGCCACCTGGCCGCGCAGGGCCGGACGACTGCGACGGCTCGTTCCAGCACAACGCCTTCCTGCTGGAGGAGCGCGAGGAGCTGGCAATGCGGGAGCGCATGCTGGAGGAGCAGCGGCAGGCGCTGGGTCGCGAGCGTGAGATGTACACTGAGGCGGTGCTGCGGCTCGGCCGGGAGGTGAGGAGACCGGTGGATGGGGTGGGGGAGGGGGGAGGTCGCTCAAACGGCACGGCACGGGGCGTGCGGCCCGCCTGGGGACTGGGCAGGGAGCTGACGCCGGGACGCGATGACAGGATCAGTCACATCTTCATGACCGGCGTCCCACCAAGCGCGTCTGATCGTCTGGCGTTGTCCGGGCTCATGCGTCCAAACCACGCGGCGGCTTTCTCGGCGCCGTGTCGGGCGCCGCCGGTGACGCCGCGCCGGTGCCCTGCAGCGGGTGGCGTTTGAGGAGGAGCGGGCGCAGGCGGTGCGGGCGCAGTTCCTGGCCAGCTCGCCGCTGCTCTCCGGTCGGCCAGCGTCGGCCCGCTCCTCGCCCGCTGACGTCACGCGCCGGCGGCTGACGTCACCGGCGCGGCGCGCCGGACCCGGCCAGCGCACACCGCCGGCGCGCCGCTCGCTCCCGAGGTGAGTCGCAGGGAGGCCGGCGGTCGGGCGCCGCTCTCGTGCGCCGGGCTGGGGGCTCGCGGCCGTGCAAGACCTGACCGGGGTCGGGCAGCACCGGCGAGTTGGCCGGCCGCCACGCACATGCGTCGAACCACCGATATGTGGGAATCACACGTGCGTGTGTATCGTCGCTGATCGCTCATTGTGGCAGCCGGCTTGTTATGACGCCTGGTGCTTGTTATTTTACGTGGTTACGCTTGTTATGTTACGGCATGACGCGTTATGAGTTCCGCCGTCGGGTGATCCCTGGTCAAAGACCATTTAAGTCTGCTGAGGCAAGCGTGCTTCCTGCTCGCTCCTCTGAATATCATCGCTCCCCAAGTTGGACAGCCCTCCTGAACATTTTCGAGTAGGCTATTGCACAAATTTGAAAGTGAATTGCTTCATTATCACCCAGCAGCTCTACCTCAGATATCAAGTGTAGCCTTATCGGTTTTAAGCTAGATCACGCGTTTTTAGGTATGACAGCGCAAGTGAGTCGAGCAAGCGTTCTTTGGACACTATTCACCGCACAGCGCTCCGCATCACTACAGGAGCGTTTCGAACGACACTTGCCGGAAGCCTTCTTGTAAAGGCCAGCAAGCCGCCGCTGTCGGCTCGGCGAGAAATGCTTGTCGGCAGCATGAGATATGTTCTAAAGCTGCGGCAATTTCCTTCCCACCCGACATGTGATGCAGTTTTATCGCGACGAACAACAGCTGTGTTTCATGGTGGTCCGGATCAACATTCCGCCCTTTTTGCGCTAGGATAAGACCTCTGCCTGATGCCAGTGGCATCCCTCTTCGCAGCATGATGCGGGTGCAGCATACGCTAGACCCTCCATGGCTTCTGATTTCGCCCAGAGTAGACACTTCGCCTGCTGAAACAAGGAAACATACCCTACCAACTGACTTTTTCCCTTCCAAGGAGTTAGGACACGTGACGTCGTACGAGGAGCACACAATAACTCACACGGACAGATCTAAAGCTTCAGACGGTGTCGGCTGTGCGTCGTGATTGGATCCGCCACCCGATCATCCACGTTGCCAAGGCGCGCATCGGTATTCACCTCTGAACTGGCGTCTATTATCAAGGCGCTTTGTTTATTGAAGTTGGAAATGAGTCATTTCACCTCGTTCTAACAGATTCTTTCAGCAGCCTTTTGGCCTTAATAACTTTCAACCCATCATGTCCTCTTTTACAGGCCGTCTTGATGCGCCTCACTGCATTGAACCGAGTTGGAAAGAACGTGACACTGTGTTAGATTCCCAGTCATGTCGGTATCTTTCAAAATGAGTTCGCTGACACAGCCGCAAAACGTGCATGACATGCACCATGTACGCGCAGATTGCTGCTTCCAGCTCAAAATTTTTATCCATCCATTTTAACTTTATTGCAACGCAAGTGGCAGCTCCGTTGGAATAAGGGCACGCACAGCAAATTGAAACGTACAAAACCTGCATTGGGCCCATGATCTTCCAGCTTCCGTGATTCGAGGCGAGAAGTGGTGCTTTGCAGGCCGCGTATTGGCCATACGTACGAAACTCACCGATACTTGTCGTGTGGTAGTGAGAGACCCCGATGCGCTCGTTACTCTGCGTTTCTTACCGTGCACTACATAGTATGGCTATGTCCACATTTTGCCGGGAAGCGCTTGTGTTACTTTGGGCGAAATGCTACCTCCCTCACTTAAGTGAAATTCTTGGTAATCACTCGTAACTTCTTGAAGATGGGCAACTGTATTCGTTCCTTGCAGAAATCGGATTTCGCTCTATGTACTCACCTCGTAACTAATGCCATCCTGGTGAGTGCAATATGGCCTATGCAGTCGGCGCGTCTAAAAACCGTAAATAACAACAAATACCAAGTGTAGCGGAAAGAGTGCAAAATGCGGTACATTGTATTTTGTATTGGGGTCGACGACACGCGATCCCGCGCATTGCGCGAATGCTGCACCGGCTCCATTGCTTGAGCCGAGTGTGGAGTTGCCGCGATGGTGACTGAAGAAGTTTGCCGCTGCAGAAGCCATCTTGGCGTTAATGAGCTTACTCAAAGTGAGACGCTGTTTCACACCCTCGCCGTCGGAACGCGATGATCGTTACGTGCCAGCACGTGTATGCATCAGTCGGCGACTCCGTGTCGCTGCTGCTGTCTGCGCGAGCTGCTCGTCCGTGACCTGACCTCGGCTGGGTCGGTGACCCCGGCGCTGTTTCAGCTCGGAGGCGAGCATGTCGCTGCTGGGGCTGCCCTCAAGCCTGTTCGGCAGCGACCGTGCGAGTCCGTGCGCCGCCGCTGACCGGCCCGGCCCGCCCGAGCCGGCGTCGGCCGGCCGCCTCCGGCCGGCCAGCCCGGCCCAGCCGGCGCGCGGTGCCCCGGATGGCACGCCCGAGCGTCACTCACCCCGCGTGGGCTGAGGCATCAGGACACCGCAGCCTGGTCAGTTTAAGTCACTCTGTGTGGGCACCCGCCCCCCCCCCCCCCGGAGACAGGTCCAATGTACCTCAGATTCAGACGCCTAACTTACTGATGGGTGGAAAAAGTTGGCGAAGGTGATTGGTTTGTGGCCTCAGCGATCGTGCTGCGCGACTTGAAAGGTGCGAGCGTGGCCTTGATCTAAGAATCTGATCGTTGACTGGCTCTATGGTGGCGCCATGCACGTGCCGGCCGCAGCCGCCGGCAGCCTTTCCCCTCCCCCTCCCCCTCCCCCTCCCCCCCCCCCCCCGCTCCGCCGCCGCTGCCGCAGGCAATTTGGAATCCTCATCGAGTGATCATTAGTTTGTCGGCCTCGCCGGAATCAATACGGCATGGGTGTATTGCTGTTGTGTGTGTGCACTGCGCGGCAGGGCCTCTCTGGGGACAGTGGCATTGTGTGTTCACAGCACTCAGGCCAGGGTCCACGAGGAGACGATGTCCCGCTGGGGCTGGGACCACGGTGATTGTGGCGTGTTGTTTGCGATCGCGATACTCCACTTTCGTGCTCCGAGAGAGGGGAGGGAAGGGGAGTGGAAGAAGAATGGAGACAGGAACCAGAACGGTACTTGTGTACTTTGTGGCGTGCGGGTGTGTGTGTGTGCTTGCTGCTTTATGGCGCGTAAACCACTTCGCCGCCTGGGCCCAGCTCCGTTATTTGTTGCAAACTGCGTGACGGTCCAAGTATGTCGAAGTATGCGCAAGAAGTAGTTGAAGTTTGACACAAAAAGAAAAATGGCTATAGGTCCCCACGATCAAATCTCAACAAGGCCACCTAGCAAGCCAAAGTAGCATACCATAGGCGCAGACCCAGTTCTGAGATATTCCGTTACCCTGGTCGGGTCGGGTCGTACACGACTTGGAATCTAATATAGTCTTTAAATGATGCAATGGTACAATGGAGGAGGCATCCATGGATGACGGCTCACCAAGAAGCTGTCGAACCGGGAGGTTGGGGGAAAATGCGTCTCTTTCGGCGACAAGATTCCGACACATCGCGAGGCCGTGTTCATTTGACAGTCTACCATCGCATCGAGCGCACAGTGGTGGGTCATCTCACAAGAGATAGTGTTTAGGTGTTTGGTAGGTATGGCCAGAACGGAGCCGGCGGAGGGCAACCTCTTCGACGCGGTGCTTCCTGTGGCTCTACACCCACTCTCCTCTGACACGTTTAACTTTTTTGAACCTGCTGGAGTCGACGTTCTACCTCCGCTGCCACACATCACAAACATAGATTGGCAAGATACACTTCACGTCAGAAGGGAACATGTTAATAACAACGAGATCGCTTCATTCGCCGCCTGCTTACCGCGGCGTCCGCAAGTTCGTTGCCAGAAATATCAACATGGCTCGGTGTCCACAAGAATATCACCTGCTTACAGCTCGCATGCAGTTGGTGTGAAACTGAATGCTATGCTGCAAAGAGCGATTTCATAAGTACCTTTCAGTGGCGCCTGTTGTGCATGTACACCCCACCTACTTAGCTCCGCCGATACATGCTGTTTATTCTTGGATGACGTAAGAATCATCCGAAGGTTGATCGTCGATTCGATGAACAGAGATTGCTCATCGAATCAATGATAAATTTCTGAAGAGAAAGTGGCTTTGTTTCCGTACACATGCTTACACGGCTTGATTCTATAATGCACGAGTCTGCAACTTGTTTCCACGAACCAGACCCAGAACTTGAACGCCACGCGCGACCACTACAGGCACGTCAACATCAGAGACCTGATGAGGCAGCTGCGCGCATTGGTCAACATCGCAGCGTGACGCGAGGGCCGGCGGCCGGAGGCGGCGAGTGCCCCGCGCGGGCGGGCGTCGGGGCCGGGGCCCAGCTCACGGCGTCGACCCCGCTCGGCAGGTCCAGCGGCCGTCGTCCGCCGGCCGTCCGCTGGCCGTCCGCCGGCCGTCCGCACGCCGTCCGCCGGCTGTCCGCACGCCGTTCGCCGGCCGTCCGCACCGGCCAGGCGGGTGGGGCGGCCGGCGCGCCGGCGCTCGGAATAGGCCTAGCTGTGTGTCAGGCGACTGGGCCCGTGTCAAACCGTGCCAACGCGGACAGTCATCTGCTGAGCGCACATTGCCGACCTCCTGTTTGACAAAGTCGGCCCACAATTCTCATCGCTATGCATTTCGATCCGCATGCGTTTTGGGCATGCCTAAAAAGGGCGCGTGTGGACTGTGACCAATTTATGCACCTCTCAAAAGCTCATTTTCGCAAGCTGACTTCTACTTGCGTCACCACCGCACCGAACCATGGCATGCGTTTGGCGGGTCGAGTGACCAGGATAGTGCTGTAAGGCCAGGCGAAGATGTGGGTGGAACATCTTAATATGATGAGATAGCTGGATACGCAGTGGTTCCCGTAGTGTCCGTCTACTAACTTAGTGGTGACTGGTGGATGATGTGGAGGTGTTTGGTTTCTTCACAGTGAATTCTTTCTACGTAGTATATATATATATATATATATATATATATATATATATATATATATATATATATACGCCGTTATATGTACGCCGTTGGCAGCTGCGAGCATTGGTCAACGCGGGCATATATATATATATATATATATATATATATATATATA